TGCCGAGAAGCAGGGTGCCCTTCGGCAAAATCTGTCCTGGAGGCCCATGACTGGAATCTTCCACAGCGAAGTCACGGTACTGGATGCCGTTTGCCGGATGCCGTGCCTTTATTTCACACGAGTCCCAGAACATCCAGACGTCGTCTCCATTTTACAGACGGGGAAATGGAGGCCCAGAGAGTTTGGGTCACTTGCCTCGGTCGCACAGATTACACCCAGAGCCGTGGGACCCGAGGCCCAGACCGTCAAGGCTAAACTGTGCCGTCTCATAATACGTGCTTATGAAACAAGCCGACTGGAAGTCGCTGCCAGGAGCGTAGTGGCTTCCATCCCACACGCTCGCTCATTCTCCCCTCCGAAAATAGCAGCTCAGCCGGAGACGAGGAGCCTAATTACAAGTCAGGCCTCAAGCTGTGTGTGGTCACGACCCTGTGGACCCCCCGAGTCAAAGGATGAGCTGTGGAGCAAGGAATTCCTTCGGAGCTGCTTCTAAATTAAGCCATCTGCAGTCTGTCTCTGCCTGGAGCTAAGAAATTGTAACGGCTTTGGCAGGAGACAGCTTCGCTGAATGGAGCTGAGTCGCTCTAAGGTCAGTGCAGGTAAATAAGAGGCAAGCGCCAGGGCCGCGGGCAGGCCTGGGAGCAGGGCGGGGGCCTCCGCCTGGGCTGGCCAAAGCGCCGGTCCTGTTTGAATGGGGAGAATCCAAACAGCACGGCCCAAATGAGGACCGACCGGCGCCTGCACCACTGGGGCACTTCTTACCGGCAAGCGAGAAGGGCCGAGGCACTTGCCCACAGAGACCTGCGAGTTGGCACGGGAGGTGGCTGCTAACCACACTCTGCGTGTCATCGTTCCATGACGATTTAATAAGACTGTGGCCTGGGGACCTAACTCCATCTGGGGGCAAGGGGTCTTTCTAGAGACAGTGAGGTTGCTAGCCAGGGGAAGAGGGAGGGAAAAGTGTCCTCGATGGCGGGGACCGGCCAAAGCCCTGAGAGGGGAACAGTTGGGGCAAATTAGAGTAGACGCGAGCAAAGCATGTGGCTGAGGGACACGGAGGTGTGGCCGGGGGGTAAGCAGTGTCGGTTCTCATAAGAGACTTACAGCCAACCCAGCTCCAGGAATCATAATGTCTCCCCCCAACCCCGGGAACCGGGTACTGGACTGGGGTTGGGGGACACCTGCCAGCCCGCTGACCCCGCCCCCCGTTCTGTGGGCGAGAAGCAATTCTCTCAGGGTCTCGGGGAGTCTTGGGCAGATCCGAGACCAGCAGCCAGCTCACTGTGGCTTTTGTCCAGCCCCTGCCCACTTGTGGTCCCCACTCTGGCCCTGGGGCCCGGATCCTTGGATTCCGTGTCCCAGTTGATTTGACGGCTTCTGCGCTTTTTTGATCCACTTTCGTCTGATCATTACCCTCACCTGTGCCTTTGACATTTTGTGAGTCTTGCTCTTGACTCCATTTTTCTTTCCTTGCGATCGTTCCTTCCTTTTGTGGCATCTAGAGTTGTCTGCTTAGCTAATTGCCTTTTAATCTTCTTTTTTCCCAATATTAACATTTACGTAACAAGGCGTTCACAACTATGTTGCCCTGTAAGTTTTCTTTTATCTCGTTTCGAGTGTGTTTATTTTTGT